TATAACTAAATATTGAAAATTATTTTCCAACTGATTTTTCATTACATTATCAAATATCAAAAAATAATTTATTTTTCTAGAATTCACTTGAAAAAATTATTTTTCAACAAATAAGAACTAAAATAAAATATTAAAGTTAGTTGGCTTAAGATCAGCTGTGTTTTTGACTTGTAAACTAACTGGTCTTAGCAGTTGCTAACAAAGTTTCAACAAATCCCTCTACATTCTTTCGTTGTTGTGAAGTATTTATGTGAATTTGTTTTTGGCTAATACAAGATTAGTCAATTGTTAGATTATACGTGCACATGAAATTGGTTACAAGTCCCAGCTTGATGACTTGAACTGAGTTTCATTTTAAACCGAATTAAAGATTGTAAAGACATGCAAATAAATACCAAGAAACTCCTTGAGGTCAGAAAAAGGAGTTGCTGAAAGTGCAGGTTCTTGAGATATTGAGGTCAACATACAACAAACACCTTGTTGAAAAAAGCTTATACAGAAATGGATCCTTTAAGATTTTCAATCGTTATTAAAGTTTTCTGCAAGATCAAAAACAAGACATGAACCCTTTTTTTCAATCAAATCGACCTGATTTATGAACCTACAGCTCTGTTTTAGATTGAAAGTCTGCAGGCAGTTGTCTATCTTGATGAGGAAAACAGGTCAATTATCTCTCCAAGAGGGCCATCTGATCAACCCTTCATTTCTTCGTAGTCAGGTCGAGGAGTATATGAATGAGAGCAGCCCTCTGGACTGTCCTCTAGCACAGAGGGATCCAAATTAATGGCAAGGCCTGGTATCCCAGGCTACCTGATTTTTTATTTTGCAGAGAATTCGCTTTGAAAATAAGTTTATATATATATATTTTCTCTCGAAAGCCTTGGAGCTGATGGCACAAAAGCCCACGAAGGCCTGTAAAGGAGACCAGCTCATGTAACCTCCCTCAAGTCTTATATAAAATCAAGTCCAGATCCAGGAGGCCTAGTAATTCAGACCCGAGTAAAAACTCGAGCCATTGTTTGAAATCCAGGAAACATTTAGGTATGGAATGGAGGTGCATTAGCAAAACTGACGATTTTTTAAAAAAAGAAAAAAGAAAAAAGAAAAAAGAAGAATATTCTGTGGTGTTGTCATCATTTTTGAAATTTGATAAAATCATGTTTGTAGAAATGTCTTGAATTTAATGATTTGGGTTTAATAGAGATGACAAAATGTAAGATAATCTGAATTTTTTAAAAAATATACCTTGCTAATTCTCAATTAAATAAAGTACTCTAAGCCGATATTTTTCTGCATTTTTTCCGGTTCATATTATTTTTTTTCTTTTCTTTATAGAGCAAAACTTATCAGGCAGCTGTAGCTTAAGCTGTGAGTCAGCCCGTGCTCTATCCAAATTTAAAACCTGGATCATGATTACCATAATAAATAATAAATACAAATAACTCAAAACACGGGCTCGCATCACACCCAATGGGTAAAGCCATTAAAATAATAAAAAAAAAAATATTATTCAAGATAAATATGAATTGAATTTACCGATCAAAATAAGTCACAAGTCACGGGTCATCCCAATCAAGTCTACTATAAACTAATTAAACTTTAGACTTGACTCGAGTTAAATTCTGATTACGATGATTTTTTAAATCAACTCGTCAAAGTAGATTTGATTTGATTCCTTTGATCATCATGATGGAAAATGATGATACCGTGGATGCCTTGAAAACATCATCTTCCTTATTTTATTTTTTCTTCTTTTATTATTTTATTGTTATCATGCATGTTAACCGTGCTTAAACGTGCCTATCTTTCTCGAAATGCTTGCCGCTCGACGAAGATGGAGAGAGAGTGGAGGACCTGGTGAGATGCCATTGACACGAACAGCATTTTCCCTGTATTTTATTGTTACTTGCATCGCCAGCTAAGATCAATGGCGTTGGCTTGCTGCCTCGTTCCAGTGACCTTCCGATAATTTACATTTTCTTGAAGATTTTGATTAGCTTTGTGACCTGTAATTCTTGTATCGCTTGGTTCATCCATGACAACTGACGCTCGAGTCGAGTTTTCTAACTCAGTTCTGCGTTTCAGCTAATTCAAAATTTACCTGCAGTCGACGCCTGTTTTCTTTGCTATGGTTGCTCGAATTGATGATCCACAGCATGATTATTTTTTTGAAAAAATAATAATTTAGATTCTCTTACTTTCTCAAATGTATATAAACTGTCATACTTTAAACTCGATCATCGATTTAGATGTAATTATCTGAGTTAAATTTAATAACGCGTTGAGTTTTTTTTCAATAAAAAATATCGTTTATTATATATATCATGAATATTCTCACCCTTTTGCTTAATGCATCGACAAACTAAGTTCGGATCGCTTTTAATAATTGTTTAATGAACTTTAAAGATTAATATTAATTTCACTGAATATTCCATTAAAAAAACAGGTGAAAATTAGTATTTTGAGCTTAAAGTGTATTATTTATTAGATAAATCTATAAAGACACGAAGATTGAAGGGTGGCGTAAACGAGAGCTAAGAGCATTTTCAAATGGATAGTCAAAAATAAAAAATTAATATTTTAGTTTTTTTTTTTTGTTTTGCACACTCCAATAGAAAAGTCAAACAAAATGTTAAAATGCTTCTTCTCTCCTACAAATATTATTTTTACATATCTCTTTAAAGAGCCAAAACCAACAAAGTGGAACCACTAAAAAAATAGACCAATTAAATGTAGACATGTGGAAAAAAATAATATTAAACAGTATTAAAAAATAATAAAATATTTATTTTTTTCACTTTAATATAAATGGTTCTTTAAATAATTTTTTTTTATTAAAATAGATATAGTAAGATAAATTATATTTATACTGTTTAAAATATTATTTTATCAATTTAACTTTTTAAAATAGCAGACGGTAGATGAGATGCTATGATGTTTTTCCAATAAATAAATCATAGGTGAGAGCTAATTAGATGATGTTTTTCCAATAAATAAATCATAGTAGTTGTCTAAAAAGGAGGGCCTGTTTATGGATGAATCATTAAGCTAAAAGTTGAAAGCACGAGGAGGACAGACAGTGAAGGCTGAGTAATTAAGTATTTCCTAATCCCTCATGCTTAACAATTAAATATATATTTGACAATCCGAGATATATATATATATACACACTTATTAATTAACCATGCTTAAAAGTGTTTTTGAAAGTAATTTATTTAAATATACTTGATAGGTAATAAAAAATAAAATGAATATAATTTCAAGAGGTATACTTTAATTGCTTAGTTTTTAGATTTGTTTTCTAAAAATTATTATTTTGAGTTTTATAAGTTTTATGGACATTAAAAAATTATATAATAATTAATTTTAAAATTTATGTAATTAATTAAAATATATATAAGTTAATCTAGATAATTAAACTAATAAAAAAAAGTTAAAAAAAGAAAGAAAGAAAAGAGTGATGCCTCTTCGATGCACCGAACATGTGAAAATTATTCTTAAACGCCCTTCAAACGCAACATACGGATTATTACAAGAACTCTCATGAAGCTCCAAAAACGGGGGGCGAAACTCAGCTCAACCACTGAAAAGGATTCATGCTTTTGTTCTCTCGTGTACGCTGTCTTGTCATAAGGGGCCCACACGAGCAGAGAGGATTGAGATGACACGTCTCTTAATTCTTGACACGCATAAATGTTGACTTTTTTACAGCTAGGTCGCCCGGGAACTTCCAAGAGGAACGGGCCCTACAAAAAGAAATCATATCGCCGCCACCTTTGTGGACCTTCATGTTAAAGACGAAAACTCGGTTTTATTTTTTTGTAGGGTCCAACAGTCACATGGGGATGGCCTTTAATGATTCACGAAGAGACAACCCTTCCACTCATCTGGAAGCGGCCACCATGTTCTTCTTTACTGTTTGTTTAGACGCCAGGGTAATTATTTTTAATTCAATTTAATTTTTACAAAACAATAATTAAATTGGTTTTAAAAAAATTAAAACTAAATTATAATCCATTTAAACTAACTTAGTTTTGATTTAATTATTTTAGAATAAAAATCAATTCAAACTAATCTGACTTTGTTTTTAAAATAAAACTAACTGGTTTTGATTTAATTATTTTAAAACAAAAATCATTTTAAATTAACCTGATTTAGTTTTTTTTTTTGTTAGATTTAGTTTTTTGATTTGATTCTATTTTTTTTATTTAGTTTAGATTTTTTTTTCGGTTAGGGTTCGATTCTAGTTTTTTAGTTTCAGGTTTATAAAACCGAACCGGTTGGTTATTAAAAAAAATTTTAATCAGTTTTTTTTATTGTTTTATTTTTTCAATTTTTTCAATTTAATAAATTTTTCAAATTTTTTGCTCACCTTTAGCTGTGGTGGAGGAGGGTTTTTTTAAATATTTTTTATTTTAAATATTAATTTATTAAAATTATTAAGAAAATAAATTTAACATTTTCAAAATGAAACACATTTGAAAAAGAAAAACTACTCAGCTCTCACGGATTACATTAATATACTATACTTTAAAAGTATTTACATTGTGAATGATACTGGTGTTGTTTTTGTTGTTGTTTTAGTCTCTCTCTCTCTCTCTCTATATATATTGTTTTAGTCTCTCTCTCTCTCTATATATATATATATATATTATTTTATTTTTTGTGCTAAAAATGACTTAATCTGACTTAACAACAAGACCTAATATTATCGGAACTGACTTAACGGGGAGATCTGCTTCTCTGTTGTCTTTTTGCGCGAGATGAGGGTTTCTCACCTATTACATGTGGATTGTGGGTGTTTCCGTGTTTTTTTGTGCAGCTCCAACTTCTTTCATACAGCAAATTAACTTGAAAAATTCAAGATTTAAACCATTGATCCATGCAACTCGTTTCATCACACCAGACCATGTTTTTAATGTTTCAGTTTTCTCATCCAAATCTATCTTATACATATATAGAGAGAGAGAGAGAGAGAGACAACTCTATCATTTTAATAGAAGTAATTAACTTAGATTTGACTAGATGACACATTAATGGATACACAAGCATGATAATAAAAATTACAAGCCACAACATCAAATTCCTAACCCTAGAATTATGGTTGAGTGATAAACCATAAACAGCCAAACAAAAAAAGCAAGCACGTTAAACTTATTTGTTTGGCAGTCATATCTTATACCTCATATGTAATCAAGAGCAGGTTAATTTATGGGAATTTTACACAAATTTTATTATTGCCCATATGATACCTGCCAAACTATCTAGGATTCTACAACTAACAACTGTGAAAATAATACAATGAAGTACACACTAGCTTCTTGCCAGTGAGAGTTTACACTGGATTTGTAATGCAAGATCAGAAAAGCTCTTCAACTCCAAGGAGAGAGTTCTGGTATTGTTATTAGAACCAGATTGAAACATCCTGCTGATGCTTTGGCAGAGAATCCATTCCCAGTCCTTGTAGATCCTCTTTGTACTCGAAAGAGGACAAATCGAGGGGGGAGCTGAACATCAAGTTGAAGCTGCTGTTGTTTTGGCTGGTCTCAAATGGAGAATTCAAAGGCTTAAACCTGTCAAACTGACCGCCTTCCTGCGAAAACAATTGATGGTTAGAGTTGATGTTGTACTCTTTGAAGACATTTCCACCGATCACATTGCCTTGACTTCGGAAGTGATTGCCCTGTTGGTGTTGGATTTTTGGCTGGAAGACATTGTGATTGTCCTGTTGACGTTGGATTTTCGGCTGGAAAACATGGTGACCTCCTGTAACCAGGTTGTTAACAGGATTTGTGTTCTTGTTGCTTTGGATATTAGTGTCGTAGATTGACATGAGCTCGCTGATCATCTTTTGACCATCTTCTGGAACTCCTGATAAATCAAAGGGAGGAGGGGAAGGGTTCACCAAGGGAGCAGCTGGCTTGGATTGTACAGATGGCTGAGGAAAGATGACAGGCTTGACTTCATTAATGTGGAAATTTGATCGTCCAAATTCTAATGAAGTGCTTCTGAAGGGGCAGTTCAGTTGATGATTGTCCCTAGAAACCCTGTCGGGGAAACCCAGTCGAATTTGACTGTAAGGACATTGAACTGCCTCACATGTGTAGATTCTCTGATCCACCATCATGTTTACATCACTGGATGGCTTTCTCTTTTGAATAAAATCCATGCTGGAGATAACTTCTCCCTTAAATGGATATGGCTGTTGTCGAAGAGGCAGCTGTTCTCTCATTCTTTCCATCCCTAAATTAGAATAGGTGACAGTCTCAGGTTTGCACTCTTGCTGGTCAAAGTTTGGCTCATCTTCAGCTCCTTCAACATCATACTCACAGCAATCATTAATGACTAAAGATCCACTCCCTGCAGATGATGACAGTGGCGGGCAGGAATCAGGGTAGAGCTCACGAGCCCATGACTCCTCTTGGTTGATAATTGCAAGCCAGGTAGCACTTTCCTTGGCTGTCATCTTGTCCTGCAAGCCCTTGGACTGTCTCACAAGCTTGCGGATCTTGGCAATATCAGGAGACATGTGCTTAATCACTGCTGTGAGAACACCCACTTTCCATGCCTTCTTCAAGTCATGAGGCTTCTTGTATGGTGGAGGGCCTTGGTCCTCAGGCAACCCCAATTGAGGCCACCAATTTTCATTTCCAGAAGGCCACCATGGTGGAGAAACACCTTTCTCTAATGGAAACCGCCTCTGGGGAGGGTCACAATGCTGCATCAGCGCGGACAAGAGTGAACCCAGGGTGGTGTCTTGAAGCTCCTGCAAGGTGTGTGGAGTTGGACCAATTGGATTACTACCCTCGTTTTTCCCTGGGATTGAATTATCCGCTTGGTACTTTGTTATGGCAGCCGGACCATTTCTATCAAACCTGACTTTGTCCTTCCACCATTCTCGAAGATTATCCGATGCCCCAGTCACTGGCTTTCCCTTCTCCGTTATAATCCCATAAACAAAACCTTGAGCTTTACAAACCTCCATCATCTTCAACATGTACTTCAAGATCCCATCTTGTGCCCTCGACATCTTCTTCCTCCTGGCCTGCTCCTGGGACTGACGCTGCTTAGCAATATCAATCCCCTCCTTACTTTTGGTCTGTTCTTTTAGCCTTTTGAGACGCATTTTGTCCCTCCACATCCTTCGCTCAAGCTCATCAACATCAATCTCCTCATCGCTATAGTCATCATCCACAACAGTAGCCTCTGGTTCAGCTTGCGGAGCAGCCACATCTCCTTCCACAAGTGGAGCACTAAAGAAATCTATGTCACCGCAAAACCCCATCTCATCAAACATCGACATCTTTCACAGATCAAAACCCCCACAATTGACTAGAATTTGTTAGCAGCTCAAATTGATTCAAATCACGAAACTTTAATTCCTCAAACTACTCTTCACCAAACTTCGACTCCTGATGAAACCTGTAAAATATTAGTAAAAATTACAATATTAGAAACACTGCTCAACATATAATTTACAAATAGATAAGGCGTGCGTAACCATCAAACACGATTCAATAATCCACCTTTCCATTTACTGATGCAATCAAGATCCCTTACATCAATCAATCGTTCTTTATTGTTCACAATATCTTATAAAAAAAAATACAAAGTCTAAAGAACCATAAACTACTTCATATTGAAAGAAGTAAGCGGATCAATAAGCGTGAAAAGATTTACTTGATTTAATATTGAAGGAAAAAGTAGACTTTAAATCAATTGATGTTATCATCTAGCCCATATTTAACTTGACTGACCAGATCTCACCTTCTATGAAGATTGAGGAAGACAAAAAAAAACTGATCAGTCATAGAAATTCCAATCCCCCTTCCAAATAATATGGCAAAAGCCCTCAAATAATATCAAACACCTTGGATCTAACACAATCAAAAACCCACATCCCAAAACTAAAACTAGACCCACAAAAATTCAAGAACCCACACCCAATATTCAAGCTTTAGAGATCCACCAACTAGAAACAGCATACACATCGCACAAGAACACGGACCCATATCAGCAAAACCAAAAACACAGCTCAGGGTGGAAGAAAGGAAAAAATAAATGTGAAGAAAGTTTACCAGGAAACAACGAAGTAGAAGTATTTGGCACTGGTTAGAGAGAGAGTTAGTTACAGGTCAATCCTGCAACAAGGACTATCTTTTCCTTAGTTTCTGAGAGAGAGAAAAGAAGGGCATATAATATTCCAACTAGGGGTATATATTATTGTCCTCCAGAATAAACTATGTGATAAAAGAGGAGTCTTGATGACACTAGCGGGGTGATGGTGGGGTTAAAGAAAGTGAAAGCAAAGAACTTTAACAAGAACCCTTGAAAGTAGGAGGAAGGAGATGGGAAATGGGAGGAAAGGATGGTGAAGGGTGAAGGGTGAAGGGTGAAGGAGGTCAGGCAAATCCAATCCAAAACATTGGAAGTGTAAGACACGGGGAGGGATTGTAAGTGTGGTGGCAAGTCTTGTCTTGATTTGATGATCCCTATGTACCATATATCTCTTTAAAGCAAACCGGGTTTCTTCCCCAGCGAAGGCTTACAGCTTCTTTTTCCTTTTTTAAGTGTTTTTTTTTTAATATATTAAAATAATATTTTTTATTTTAATTTTTTTAATATAAACATATTAATTTATATATATATTTAACAAAAAAACTATTTTAGAAACACAATCTGAAACCAAACACACCCTTGCAAGTCCTTGTTTGTGGGGATGCATTCATGGCTAATAGATTTTGCGAATCCTGTGTTTTTACATCGTGCCATTGATTCCGGAGTTGACATTATAAAAGGTTTTTTTTTTTGGTAACATGATTCGTGCATCTGCTAACTTTACATTTGTTCTATTTTCAACTCATTTCCCAAAAATGATTCTGTTTTTTTATAATGAAAATTTCTATCATTCTAAATACTCTTTGGTATTTTAAAATAATTAGATAGATAGAATTATTATAGAAAAATTCCTGATCATATTTATCATATCATCGCAGAGCTAGAATCTGATCTAGAATTTCTCATTGTTGGTTGAAGTGAATTCTTTCTGTATCTTATTCTTTGAACTCCTTGTTTTATTACATAAATTAGTTATGTGCTCTGAGATAAATTGCAGGAGTAGATTATGTGCCCCACATGGATAATCAACGAGGTACCTGTTGAAATCTGCAAGGGCTTGGATTATGACATCATCCTCACAGGAAAAACTCCATCAATCACTCCTTCAGTGCAAGTGCACGTTTTATATATATATATACACAAGTGCAAGTCTGCTAGTGTAATGCATATTTTTTTTTACTAAATATACTAAAATAAAATTTTTATTTTTAATATTAATATATCAAAATCATAAAAAACTAAAAAAATATATTAATTTGATATTTTTTAAAGCAAACACAACACTCTCAAGTAAAATTAAAAAATAATAAAAACTAGACACTAAACCTTTTCAACAAATTATTTAAAAATATATTAGTTTATTTCTCACGTTATGTAGTGTATTGTTATGTAGTGTATTGGACTATTTTTTCAAAATGTTAAAAATAAATAAATTATATTAGGACTATTTTTTTAAAATGTTAAAAATAAATAAATTATATTATAGGTAATTATTTGATATCGATATTAAACTCGGCAAAATAAATTAATTTTAAATTTTTATAATTTAATCTAACTATTTTTCTAATTATATTTTAAAATTAAATAACTTATGAGTTATCCACATCACTTAGTTAATTTAATGAGTTTAAATACAGGTTGAAAATATGATTTTACTTAAAAAAAAAGAGAGAGAGAAAATTGTATTTTGTTTCCTCCAACCATAATTTACTATTCTATCTCATGTAATTAGGTTACAAAATGATTATAAAAAAATATTTTAAATATGAAATTAAAAAAAAAAACAAAAAACGAGAGAAAAAAAAGAAATTGCTTCACTGTTATTTTAAAATGTTTTCAGATATTTTTAGTATAGAAAGTAAGTGATATATTCCGGTTTGAGAAAACTAGTTTGAATGTTTTTATGCAATCTTGTACACAAAATGAGAAATTTTTTTAATGTGTTTTATAAATGGGAATAATGATGGATTAAACAAAGTTGACAAAAACCAAATCTTCTATTAAACTGAGTAAAAATACCAGAGAATGAAATCCAATGCTAAGTATCATTAAGGGAAGAAAGTGGCTTATTTAGAGTTTGATAGATGTTATTTTTTAAAGTAAAATTTACTTGGAAATATATTAAAAACTATTTTTTTTATTTTTTAAAATTTAATTTTAACATGATCTATTAAAATAATTCAAAAATATAAAAAAATTAATTTATAAAATAAATATAAAAGCTTTTCAGAAACGCGGTTGCATTCCTAAGATAAAACTTGGTGTCCATATTTAATGGCACTTACGGTATCTAAGATCCAATTTTGTCCTCTAGGAATCCGATTCTGGTTTCATAGATTTTGGGACACAAATTAATCGATGATTTTAATAATCGTAATCTCTTCTGGGCATCAATAGTGAAATTTGCCAATAGATCCCAGGAAACGTGGAGGTGTGGTGTTCCTAAACTGGCATGATTTTATTTTTTTTGGCATGTTGAGATTAAATCCATTTTTTATTAGGTCTAGTTAAGTCATAATTGCTTATTTTAAAATATTAAAAAATTCCCTGCAGCCCCTTGAGTTTGAATTAAGAAATGATAAGGAGAACCAAAATTACTCAGCACCTGACCCATGAAAAAGGATGGCAATGGAATGAAAGTTAGGGTCAAGGATGAAAGGTGGGAATATAGATGAAAGATTGATGTGGTTCCATACCTATGGTATTGGAGAGAAGTGGGAATAAAAACAAGGAATGCGAGTGAATTTAATTTCAAAATATCATATATTCTACGACTACACTACACGAGGCAACCACAACCACAGCCACCATGTTCGCCGCCGCCAGCAGTGATGATGGCTGTGGCATTCACTCGCCATTGAAAGAAGTGAAGAGCCATGCTTTTTAATATAATTTTTACCTCATGCAAGCCTTGCCTTCTTAGTTTGCGATTTAATATAATATAAAATAAAATCTTGTTTTACTTGAAAATACATTGAAATATATATATATATATATATATATATATAGTTTTAACCAATATATCAAAACAATATAAAAACATAAAAAAAAAATTAAATTTTTTGCAATACACTTGTGGAAATACAAAAAACACGTTCCCTGCATTCTCTTCAGCATCTCTATTATAAATCATTTCCTGATTGATCTGAATAGATGGATGGCAAAGAAGCAGCCATTTTGAAGTCCGGGGGAATCCATTAATTGCATAGGTGACCTTTTGCTGCTGATTGTAAGACAATGGAGATTCTCTTTCGATCATCAGAAAGTCTTCGCTATCCTCCCCTCAGGAAAAGAAGACCAGTTCTTTGCATCTATCCTTTTTAACAAAAATGTTTTTCATACAATGGAAACTTTCCCGTGTAGTTAAATATAAGAAATAAAACTAAACACCTGTTTTCATATTTAGAGTTGGGTTGAAAAAATGAAATTGTCTAACAAAGGCAACCGATGTTTGCACATCGTCTAGTATATTCAGGAGGCTATTTTTGTCGTGACCGCTCTGCAGCCTTGCCTGAAAAATAAAAGCAACGGTGGATTCTTCGTCTGAAGCTTGATGAAAACCAGCATTGTTTTGCATTCAGTCAAACATATTGGGGAGAGGCCGTGCAGCCATAAAAGCATCCACAACCTGAAATAAGGAAACAACCAGAAAGATGGATATCAGGATCTCTTTTACTCCAATATCTTGAGATTTTCAGCAACTATTACGATCATAGATCCACCACATCCAAGTGCAATTAAGATGGAATACAGTAACCGTAGTAATCTGCATTGCATAAATTTATAGAGGGATGCCAAAGGCTTACTTCATCAGTCACACTGGCTCGAGCTGCACGATGTCTTTCTACTATCTCAGACAAAACCGAGCCAAGGCGGCCCTTCACTTCTCCTGTTAGCATACGTCCTGCAGCATACTCCTAAACAAGGATACTTGGGCATTAGAAAAAAGAAGCTGATCAAGTATTATTTTTTGTTTGCTTACTAACATTGGGGAATGTGCCAGATTTTGAATAAATACCAAATATCTTAACAGAGGATCAGTCAAATCAACCAAAAAGAAGAAATCTCACCTTCTTTATGTGTTCAAGCTCAGCATCATCCTCAAGGAAAAAGTTCAGGTATTTGACTGAAATATCTACCTGAATAATTTCAAAATGGAAAATATGTTTGTCATCACTTTCCATGCCACGAGAAATCAAGCATTAAAAAATAAACCAGAACAACAATATGAAATTCTATCATTGGCAAAGCAAGCATGAATTCTATATTTATGAAAATAATCTAAGAACAGTTCTTCCAAGTTTTGGCACAAATAAATTGTATCTGAAAGTGTTCGCTACCTCAAGATTTGCTCCAAGTTGTCTGTGTTTCTCTACAGAATCTTGCCCACCAGAGAACGCATACTTGTTGATCTGTTTCCATTAAGCAAACTTACCATTAGTAAAAAGATTATGTTCGAGCACAGCACTAAATACACCATGCTATTCATCACATTGACCTAACCTTCATATTTCTAAATTCGAAGTAATGCAGACCTCCAAGGTCCAAGTTCAGTCTTAATTTTAAAATTAAGTACCTTTCAATGGTTATTAGCTACAAGAGTCTTGGCACTGGTTCAGATTTCAAATGTCAAAATGAGGAGGAGGATGTGCATAACTACATAATTAAATACCTTCAAATCATATAGCAAATCAAGCGGATTTTTTGTGCACTAGAAAAGTTGACAGATCAACAGTATAATCCACTTGGTATGTTAACAGGACACCATGTGCACACACATGCATGCAAGTAGCAATATGTCCTTTCCAAGGTCATACCTTACTCTTAATGACTTTAGCCGAATCAGTCACATAGATGGCAGAATTTGGATCGCTAGCAGACATTTTTCCTGTCTCCCCCTGCATGACATTCAGGAAAAGAAGACCAGTCAAGGTATTGCCAGCAACAAATCATAAGCTATGTGCCAGGATAGGAACATAGCGTTTCAGTAATCATTCCACTACTAAAGCTTATTTCTTCTAATCTTTCAAGAAAAGCACATCAATATCTTAAAATATGCTAAAGCACAAAGCACTTGAGAAAATCTTTTTTTCCCCCCATTATAAAAGCCTTCTAGAAAAAATCTTGGAAAAAATATAGCATGAAAATCCCTCACTGCAAATCATAACCATCACGTTACTAT